GAGAGAGAGAGAGAGAGAGAAAGAGGGGAAAGGAAGGAGTGTGAGAGAGAGAAAGAGGGAAAGAGGGCGAGTGAAGGAAGGAAGAGAGGCCAGGCAGAGACTTCAAAACTCTTACTAAAGGCCACAGCAACGCGTGGCAGGGCACAGCTAGTGCTAATAATAAGATGACTAACAACGAGCTAAGTGGAATTTAGGGCTCTGATAAAAAACCTTTGTGTGAAGGAGCTTCTTTGTCAGCTGGTGTGTATCCCCTCACATTAAGTCCAGTTGTGTCCAACTCTGGGGGTTGGTGCTCATCTCCATTTCTAAGGCGAAGAGCCGGCGTTGTCTGTAGGCACCTCGAAGGTCACGTGGCTGGCATGACTGAATGGAGCGCTGTTACCTTCCTGCCGGAGCGGTACCTATTGATCTACTCACACGCGCATGTTTTTTGAACTGCTAGGCTGGCAGAAGCTGTGGCTAACAGTGGTAGCTCACACCGCTCCTCGGATCCAAACCTGTGACCTTTCGATCAACAAGTTCTGCAGCTCAGTGGTTTAACCCACTGCATCAAGCTATATTATATACAATGGCACAGTAAAATTGTGTCTCTTATATATGACAGGAAAACCATGGTTTGTGTTTGGATTTTTCTTGGGGGCGGGGGCAGATATTTCAAGCTGTGGGTGGTTGACTCCGCAGATACAGAATCCATGGATACAAAGGGCCAGCTGTAGTCCTTTGCCATCAGAAAACACTCTTAACTGGCAAAACAGATAATACGTAAGACCAGAGTTATTTACTCTAAGTCATTGCTACTTAAACTATGTGTCCCAACCCTAAATGGGATCCTCTTAGCTCACTTTTGGGGACACAAAACAGTAAAATATTTGAACCTTTTTCACAAATCTTTTAGCAACAACATGCTTTGTTTATAGTGGACTCTTCAGAAAATGCTTCAGCTGTACTTCATAAAAAGGAAAATCTGCCTGTTTACCAAGCCTTGTAATACTGATTTATTATCATGATTTTTATATCTATGTTTATACCTCTATACTTGATGTTGGTGGAAAAATTTCTCAGACAGAAAGGGGTTGTGAGTTTAAGAAGTTCTGCTCTAGGAAACAAATGTGAATGCATAGTACATATCAGATAGCACCATGTACACATGTGAAAAGCAAACTTAACATCTTACTCTCATACAGATACAAAAAGGAATCGTAGCCCACAAATCCGATTCTGAAATTGTATTCATTTTACATGAATAGCCATGTGTATGCTTCTCAAATTGTTCCATCTTTTCTCCACTCATAAGAGGAAGCTTAACAGCGCCAGGACCTAATAGTTGGTATAATGTCACAACTGCAAAATTGGTCTATTCTTAATAACTGATTCTCTCTATTAAGCTCTAAGACAGACAACTGAGAGATTTATTGCTTTTCCTGCATGTTCAAAAGATACAGTTACATTCAGGATGGAAAGGGGACAATGGTGAGACTGTCACCCTTGGGACTCCTGAGCAGATGCTACAGACAAAGAGGCAAAATGCAATCTTTGCATTCCACAAAAGCCTTGGTCCCCATGTTGAATTTGCAAGACAAACTGCATGACTGCAATACAAGGTAGATTTCTTTATGTCCTACAATATTTTGGAAGCACTTTTCCACATCAAATATGCAACTTTTTAAAGCCTGTTCCAACACAGGAACAACTGTATCCTCCTTAATGTTGCTGTTTTTCAATTTTTATCTCAGAGACTTACAGCAGAGTGAACTGGTTATAACAATGTTACAAACGACTGCTTTAAGCAGTACAGGCAGTCCTCGAGTTACAAATATTCGACTTACAAACAACTCATAGATCTGAACAGGAGTGAAACAACAGGAAGTGAGATAAATCTACCCCTTGGAAGGAAAATTCACTCCTGAAAGGGTTATCATGGGGGAAAGGTGTCTCAGCTGAAGCTTTATCACCAGTCCTTGCTTCAACAACAAGTAAACTTTTTTCAAAATCCAATTACCACAGGGAGAGAAAGTGAGGTGAAATCTTCTGAACAGGGAGCAAAACAAACACTACAAGAATGTTAATCCTTCCCAATGCTATCCAAAGTGTTAAGGTAAGGTTTCCCCTGACATTAAGTCTAGTCGTGTCTGACTCTGGGGAGGTGCTCATCTCCATTTCTAAGCTGAAGAGCCAGCATTGTCCATAGACGCCTCCAAGGTCATGTAGCCAGCATGACTGCATGGAGCGCTGTTACCTTCCCACAGAAGCGGTACTTATTGATCTACTCACATTTGCATGTTTTCAAAGTGCTAGGTTGGCAGAAGCTGGGACTAACAGTGGGAGCTCACCCTGCTCTCTGGATTCAAACCACCAACCTTTCGGTCAGCAAGTTCATCAGTTCAGTGGTTTAACTCACTGCGCCAGCAGGGGGCCCATCCAAAGCACTCTCTCTCTCTCTCTCTCTCTCTCTCTCTCTCTCTATATATATATATATATATATATTCCATTGGCTTCTTTCAGGCTTTCATATTTCCATGACAGACACTACATTATACAAGTTTAAGCTTCTCCTATATGTTTTCTAAAAGCATTAAAGCTAACCTGTCACCAGATTTCACTATAGCAGATAGCATATTGCAGCATTTTTGTTTACCTTTCCCCAAAAAGTATAGCAAAGACAGAAAGTGATAAAATAATGTGTTTACATTTAGCATTATGGAAATACATCTTGAATCCACCACTCTGTATTTCTATTAAGCTAGGAAAAAGCAAACTATTCTAAAAATGTAAGTAATGCTACAAAAAGTAAGATTTTTCTGTAATTTTAAGAATTATTTATCTTAACTACTTTGAGATAACATGACTTCTTGCAATCTGATAAAACACTTAAACAACTACCCTGATAATTAATTCTGACTACAGTTTAAATCTGTAATGCACAAAGGGTTGCCGTATACCTTGAAAATTTCAATTTGGTGGAGTAGAGTAAAACTCTTAAGCCGAAAATTCTAAGTATACTGACTATACTACAAATTTCTAAATATACTGACTATACTACAAATTTCAGTAATAGATAACAGGAAGCCATGACAATTAAAATGGTATGAAACTGATATAGTGATGCAGTGCAGATATATTTCTCAGTCTCTTAGTATCTGCTTAAATCATGGTTCTGGAACCAGGCAATTGAGGAATAGGCTTGATAGCGATTGCAACGTTCACGTGAACTGACAATGGACAGGCTCTGACAAAGTATTTGGATGCTGAATTAGACTGGATTTGGCTACATGGTTGATAATAATGTTTTTAAATGGATTTTAACGTAATGGTTTCATTGAATGTGTAATGTTGTGATATATTGTGTATGTATTCTCTATGTGTTGGCATTGAATTGTTGCTGATGTAAACTGCCCTGAGTCCCGCTTTGGGGGTTGAGAAGGACGGGGTACAAATGTTGGAAATAAATAAATATTATCCATCAAGACAATACAAAACAAGAGCTTGACAAAAAGAAAAATAAAGAACCAATCTGAATTTTGATCTCATTGCCCGTTGCTCACAGCCAATAATAAATGCAAAGACTAATCAGCATTCATTACTGAAATGCTGAATGCAACAAAAGCCATGGCTCTGAATCTACACCCAGCTTACTTTTAAATGACCTGCCAAGAAAGATCAGAAAGGTAAAACCAGGATGAAACTAATTTATCCCTACTCTCCCATGGATGCAAAAAATGGCAGGTTTTTTTCCTGTTCTGTGCCAGCTATACTGTATACCAGGATCATTCAGATCAATTCAGCTCAAATGCAACTGTCATGGGAAGTACATTCCTAAGATTGCAGTCCACATTCATGGACAATTCATCTCTGGATTCCACCAGCACAAAGGCACTGAATATACAGATTTAATATATATTTCATCTCCATATAGCTTAGAAAATGTTGATCATTTCCGCTACCTTGGCAGCCACCTCTCTACCAAAGTCAGCATCGACATCGAAATACAACACCGCCTGAGCGGAGAATGTTTGGGGACCGGGACATCCGTAGGAATACCAAGGTACTTGTCTATAAAGCTATTGTCCTCCCAACCCTGCTATATGCCTGCGAAACGTGGACTGTCTACAGGCGTCACATGCAACACCTGGAACGATTCCATCAGCACTGCCTCTGGAAAATCCTGCAAATCTCTTGGGAAGACAGGCAGACAAATGTCAGCGTGCTGGAAGAAGCAAAGACCACCAGCATCGAAGTAATGGTCCTCCGCCATCAACTCCGCTGGATCGGCCACGTTGTCCGGATACCTGACCACCGTCTCCCAAAGCAGTTGCTCTACTCCAAACTCAAGAATGGAAAACGGAATGTTGGTGGACAGGAAAAGAGATTTAAAGATGGGCTCAAAGCCAACCTTAAAAAGTCTGGCATAGACATTGAGAACGGGGAAGCCCTGGCCCTTGAGCGCTCCAGCTGGAGGTCAGTTGTGACCAGCAGTGCTGCAGAATTTGAAGAAGCATGAATGGGGGGTGAAAGAGAGAAATGTGCCAAGAGGAAGGCGTGTCAAGCCAACCCTGACCAAGACTGCCTCCCACCTGGAAACCAATGCCCTCACTGCAGGAGAAGATACAGGTCAAGAATAGGGCTCCACAGCCACCTACGAACCCACCCCCAGGACACTGAACTTGGAGGACCATCATCCTCGGACTACGAGGGATTGCCTAAGTAAGTAAGTAAGTAAGTAATATCTTATCTCCACTTCATTCCAGGAAGACCCCCCTACTCATTGCTGATTGGGGATTTCCTATAATTTCATTGTCACGGTTCCCAACCTTTGGGCCTCCAGGTGTTTTGTATTTCAACTCCGACAGATGGCTGGGATTTCTGGGAAATGAAGTCCAAACACCTGTAAACCCAAAGGTTGGGAACCACTGCAAGGAAGGTCACTGCCACTGAGTTATTGGAACAGTACATGGGGCAATGGGTAGAAGCACAACAATCATGGTGAGTACTCTCAACTATACCTTGTTGCAGTAAGCTCAGCAGAAATTACAGTGGTTTCATGTCCATCAGAAAGATGAGTGTTTATTGGCTCTTTGGAAGAATCCAGAGGAGACGGTGATTGGATGACATCGGTTGGAACAGAGGAACTGCATAAATGAGATAGGAAATATATTAAGGAATTATTCTTTCTGCAGTGTCTAATGTAGACATTGATTAGAGCTCAATTATTTGCAATAATAACTTCAAAACAATGATGGCTGTTTCTTTCTCAAACCTTTGGCAGTGTTGCCAGCTCAGGAGAAGAAAATCCCACCCCAGTCCCTTGGTCTATGAAATCCATTTAAAAATACATCAATAATGGCTTCAAAATGAATAAAATAATTACTTTGGGAGGGGGCTACCCTCTGACCATGAGAAGAAGGACTGAATTGATATAGGTGAAGGTGTACTGTGGAAGTGAAATAAATCTGTCTCAGAAATTCTCCGTGGGAAAATTAAAATGTGGACTTTAAAGCATTTCTGGTGCTAAATGTCTGATAGACTTCCAATTGTTTATCCACTACTCTTACATTAAAAGATGCTCACATGGTTCTCCTCATCACTTTTACCCTCATAACAACCCATAAATGTTATTGGTACAAGCACTATATATCTTTGGAATGGATTCCCACATTCTTCAATTCCTTGGGAGTGAGTAAACAAACTAATTAAAAACTCATGGCAGGAAGAGCCCTGGAATATTTCATGTACAAAAACTTAAAATCATTTTGGGACTCCAAAACAAATTAAGTGAATTTGAGAAATATATCCAAATTGAACTTCATTTTAAATATATTTTAAATATTCATAGAATCAAAGAATTGGAAGAGACCTCATCGACCATCCAAACCAAACCCCTGCCAAGAAGCAGGAAAATCGCATTCAAAGCACCCCTGACAGATGGCCATTCAGCCCCTGTTTAAAAGCCTCCAAAGAAGGAGCCTCCACCACACACAGAGGCAGAGAGTTCCACTGATGAATAGCTCTCACAGTTAGAAAGTTTTTCCTCATGTTCAGGCAGAATCTCCTTTCCTGTAGTTTGAAGCCAGTCTCCAGGGTAACAGAAAACAAGCTTGCTCCCTCCTCCCTATGACTTCCCCTTGCATATTTATACATGGCCCTCATCATGTCTCAGCCTTCTCTTCTGCCGGCTCTATAAGCCGCTCCTCACAGGACTTGTTCTCCAGACCCTTGATTATATTAGGTGCCTTTCTCTGGACACCTTCCAGCTTGTCAACATCTCCCTTCAATTGTGGTGACCGGAATTGGACACAGTACTCCAGGTGTGGTCTGACTAAGGTAGAATAGAGGAGTCTCATGACTTCCCTGGATCTAGACACTATACCCTTATTTATGCAGGCCAAAATCCAATTGGCTTCTTTTTTCAGATCAGCTATGAAGGAGAAGTAGAAAATATCTATATTTTAAATTGACAGCTCTATGTCCTCTCACACAATTTTGTGCCATCAGAATTGTCTGAACAAAGCAGTCTAAACTGGTTTAGAAGCAATGATTAAGAAGCTCCTTCCAATCTACTATACACATTCTTGGGGGACAGAGTGGAAGGGTAAAACTACTTCCAAGTGGCATCCAAGACTGTGTGTTTTCAGTGTATAAAGCACTCAAAAGAAAATACTCCAGTTTAGCTGCCAGCTGCTTAACAACAGCTGCAAGTAGCACACAGTAAATACATTCAAAAGACCCATGGATTCAGTCTGCGTATTAAATCAACACTTTGATCAACAACTACAAGCTCCCGGTCTCAAGTTTGCAGGTATCTGGGTCAAACTTAGAGAGAGCATGCATCTGAAGTTTTATTTTAAATATCTGGAACAGCCCTGTTGAAAGGAATAGGAAATATGGTACATTTTTAGCATCTGAAGCTAGTGAAAACAACAACAACATGGAGGCACATAAATAAGAAGTTAGTGAATGTGATTAATTTAAGTTAGCATTTGAGAAGTGTCCCAAAAATGTCTAAGCAAGGGAAGAACGCAATCACAGTACATACAACATGAACTACTCATCTAAACAGCAAGCTCAACTAACATTCAACTAAGTTGTTGAGTAAAAACTACAATTTCAATCATAGGGGAAACATCTGAATACAGACTTGCATAAGGAACACTTGTATGAGATTCATTATCACATTCACCATTGATTACTCATAGTGAAAACCAAGAACCTATAGACATTTTTGATATTTTCATGTCATCGTTGCGGTTTATCCTAAAGAACATGGATACAAAACAGAATAACCTCCTCCTCCCAAAAACATACTTTGTGAATTAGAAGAGTATGATTATGCATTTCTACTGCTGCTATCTTAAAATAGGTGAAAAACTTAATATTTCTCATTAGTTCAGCCAGTATTTCGTCCAAGAAAATGAGGCTGTGATTCAAACTGACAGTCTAAGAGAAGCATCAGCTCCTTCCTCAGCCTTTTTCCTTCTTCCCTTCCTTCCTCTTGTCCTCTCTCATTTATATAAATAAAAATGTAATGTTTGTTTGTGCTATTAAAGTAACTCAAAAACCACTAGACAAATTGACACCAAATTTGGACACAATACACATATCAGGCCACCAAGTGACCATCACTCATAAAAACACTGAAAAATACAGCAGAAGAGACTTAAAAAGTAAAAAAAAATTACATTGCAAAGAATGCACAAAACCACACACACACATATATGTAAACACATATATACACAAATATATGCACACATATATATACACACAAAACATATATACACAGACTAGGCCACAGCAACGCGTGGCAGGGGACAGTTAATTCCATATAAACACAGAGAATTGGCATACATTGCTGCTACTCTCCAAGGCACACAGAAAACACCACACTGATACTTCTTATAGAAATAATAATTTAAAAAATACTTATGAGACTGAGTAAAAGAAGAACATGTTTGGATACAGTGTGTATTTACATAGGATGGTTGTTTTTTTTACAGCTTTCAGAATCAATGCTCTTTTTAAAAGAGAGAGAGAAATGTCCTGCTACTTTGACTTAAGAGGTATATGAAGCCTTTTAACATGACATTGGTTACACCTGTTATGTACATACCAGACTGTTATAGGCAGGAGTGTGGATGATAAAGAAAGGTTGGGATCGTATGCAGAAAAAAAAACTTCCCATTCCTAATTTGTTGTTGTGTGCATCAAGGCATTTCTGACATATGGTGACCCTAAGGTGACCTTGTCTGAGACTTCTTTTTGTGTCAGGAGTGACTTGAGAAACTGCAAGTCACTTCTGGTGTAAGAGAATTGGCCATCTGTAAGGACGTTGTCCAGGAGACACCGGATGTTTTATCTTCCTGCGAGAGGCTTCTCTTCTCTATGTCCCTGCATGCATAGCTGAAGCTGACAGACAGGCACTCACCCTGCTCCATGGATTCGAACTGCTGACCTTTCAGTCAGCAGTTCAGCCGGCACAAGGGTTTAACCCATTGCGCCACTGGGTACTCCTTTCTAGGACTGAGAGCATGTGACTTGTCCAGGTCAGCCCTATTGGGTGTTTATGGGTCAGTCGAGATTCATACCCTGGTCTCAAGAATTGTAGTTCAATACTCAAGTCACTAATGGCGCTCCATGCAGTCATGCTGGCCACATGACCTTGGAGATGTCTACGGACAACGCTGGCTCTTCGGCTTAGAAATGGAGATGAGCACCAACTCCCAGTCGGGCACAACTGGACTTAATGTGAGGGGAAAACCTTTACCTTTACCTATTCAACTCACTACACAATAAAGGGGATAAAGATGACACTAATGAAAAACGTAACATTTGTAAGATACAGCAGGGCCATTGCGAGTAGGATGACTTGGAGGTCTCCTATTCATTGGATCACCACAAGTTAAAGGCAACTTGATGGCAATTAACAAAAACAAAGGTAGTCACTTCTTCCTTTCCCCTCTGTTACAATTCCAACTTAAATTTTCCTTCCTGGTGAGATAAAAGGAAACACTGTGCCTAGACACGCAGATAGACTATAACGATGACATAATCAGTTTCCAACACATTTCCTATAACCCTGGCTTTAAGTAGAAAATAAAGGTAAAGGTTATCATAAGGAACCTGATTATTAAAAGTTAACAAGATAGGAAGCTCCGTTGTGCCTCTTCGCCATGTAACAACACAAGCAGTTGGAATGAAAGCAGCAGAACAAGCAAATGAAAATACAATCTTTTTTATAGCACCCCTCTGGAATCTTGGCAAGCTAGAACGACATTGTGCCAGACGACGAGATTAGTCAGAAAATACATAACTTGGGGGCCAAATCTCCACCCTTTTCCTACCCATTCCATGCACACACCTTAAATAGTTAAGAACTTAATCATCCCACAACAAGCTATTACTGTGGGGGACAAGGAAGGAGGGAACAGAATCTCAAGACAAGTCACTTGAATGTAAAAGATTAATATATGGAATGAAATATAGTTGTTGCGCATCGTAGGCAGTTTTGAATTTTGCAGATTTGATTATTCACAGATCTGATTAAACTCTGGATCCTCCAGTGTGACTCTATGGGTCAACTTCCTCCAGTCATGCTGGAGGACAAGAGATTTCTAGAGAGAATACTTCTCCAGAAATCTTGAGGTCCTCTAATACGATTCTATGGCCTGCTTACAGCAAAAGCTGACTATAGAGCAAGTATGGGCAAACCTCAGCCCTCCAGATGTTTTAGACGAAAACTCCCACAATTCCCAACAGCCTACCGGCTGTTAGGAATTGTGGGAGTTGTAGTACAAAACACCTGGAGGGGTGAAGTTTGCCCATGCCTGCTGTAGAGTCATGTTTTTTCCACTTTGATGAGGGTCTATGGTCCTAAATCCAATAAATGTGAAGGGCTGACTGCACAGACACATACGTGAGGCATATTCATACAATACAGTTGTAGAATTATGATTCCACTTAAATTGCCAAGATACCATCCTATGAATGTTCAGTGAGGCACCACAGTCTTTGGCTGAAAACTGTAAATAAACCTCTCTAAGCTGCAAAATTCCATGATTCCATAGAACTGGGGACTGAAAATAGAATCATGTGAAGTGGGAAAGGGGCAGGGTCCAAACTATTCTGTTTGAGCTTA